CGTGACGCGATAATGCGTGTGTCTGTAATGAGTAATTGAACTGCAGTCAGAGAGAGACGTATTGTTAAAGTCGAGCTCGTGATACGTGAATTATAGTTTGTTATAGCGCGACTGTTGAAGTTGAGTGCATCGTAATGTTGTATTCGGAAAGAATAAACCAGTTTTATTTAAGAAAGGACTTGTGTCGCTAAAGTTTCGTCGGAACGAATTTACGGAAAATCAATTAACAAACGGAGACGTAACAATACTGTTGTAAAGTTTTTCTTTTATTGGGTAAGTTCTTTTAAGCTTCCTTCTCTTGTACACTGTTGTAACTTGTAAATATAAGTACCTACGTTTAAAAATGACTTTCAAACGTAAGTATCTCGCTAACAGTACAACTTTAAACTAAACTTGTAAAATTTCACGGCTAATCGAATCGAGCAACTGGATGTACATGATAACTAACACTGGTCCCAAATACTTCACTCAGCTGCCTGATCGACTCAGTACTCATTCACTTCTCACTATACCAACTGAAAGCAAAACACACTAACTCAGTATTTCTCTTACTTATCATATTTATTATCTATTCTCGTCTCTCGATACTCCCTGTATTAACCAATTTTTGTGACGTCAAATTTAAAAATGTAGGTCTACTTCCACAAACATACTCGATCTTAACATTATATGCTCTCTAGCTGACATTCGAATTAAAATATTAAAAGTACAATATTGATTGTTGGAAGCATTTAACATTACAGTTAATTTGATACTACTTTATTAAAAACAAAAAACGCATGATGGCTTTAAGACACCATGTTTCTTTAAATCAACATTAGCATGAAAATAATAATTACAAACGGGTCGTTTTGAACGGATTTTCTTTTCCTTGTAAGTCTAATAATATGCATTCTTTTTTTTTCTGTATGTGCATATTTATGTATACAACCTTAGCAGTCAATAGTAAAGGTTTCAAAGTGTTGTTTGAACTGAATCTTTACTATTTAAGGTGCTTTTTTGCCCGAACGTTCTATTAGAATTTTGTGATATTCCTATTATGAAAAATATATCTTGGTTCATGATAATTTTCAACTGATCGATAGTTATTGATAATAAATGAGTAAATTCAAATTAGAACGCAGAATCAAGGAAACCTACTATTACGTATAGTTCACGGACTTCTTAGGATTTTGTACTGGTGGGTAATTAATTAAAAATAACTCCACCACTATAATGTTTACCTGTATCTAGGTGGTTTACTTATTTTAACATTCTTATCGTATACGAGAAGTTAGCACACCCGGATTGTGAATATGAGGTTCATGGTTCGCATTCGTTGCCGCAAAATTGCGCTCCACCTTTAGGGTCGTGGTTGCGCTATAAAAGTGACGATCAAATCTTACTATTTGTTCAGACAGTGAGTGGCCCAATAGTAAGCTTATAGAGTTATGTGACAAATCAGGGTTCGATCTCCCACAACGGACGTTGGGCTTTTTTTGTGTGTGTGTGAAAATAATTAAGTATTGCAACTCACGCACATGACAGATCAGCTTCAAGAACGCCTTCTGGGATTTCTGTCTACTGTCGGCAAACCTTAACAGACTGTCAGTGTTGTATTACTGGTAAGAAGTCGGCAGATCATTTTCAGTGGGGCCACTAATCGGCTAACCAAAAAAGTCAATAACTGAAGGAAAGTCGTATTTTTGCTACAATCCTGTCTTAATAATGTCGTTGTCCCAAGATTTTCTTGAAGTTCTGGTTACTCTTTATAACTTGGTTATAATTTAGAAGTTGAAATATAAGTATGTTGTTTGCAAGTCTGTAAAACTGAAATTAAGCCTAAATAGTAGGTATATATTTTACGATGATGCTTATTTCAGATATGACCCGATGTTGATTTCTGTGGATTAATTACATAACAAACAAAAGCAATCAAAGATTCCATATAACCTCGCCCCGTCGCTTCATTTGGAGATTGCATGCGTTTAAATTTGGATAACGTCAAATTCCCCCTTCGAAATCTCAGAAAATCCTTTTCAGATTGATAATGATCAACGACCCGCATAATTTTTGTAGTGTGAGGAGTTTCAACCTTAATGAACCAGTGACATTTGGTACAAATCCGATCACACTTTTACAATTAACCCAAAACCGCGAAAATGTCCTATCTTCCCATTTTAACATATAATGCTTCAAAGTGATCCAGACTTCCCATTTTATGTAAAACTTTTGTGTACATCTGGCTATTAGTTTTCGAGATACACACACGAATCCGATTGCAGGGGTGGCGGGATTAGATAACTACGTTTCGTTAGAAAATAGTGAAACTGATGAGACAATAATCTGTTAATTGGTCAGATGTGCTGAGAGTTTTTATGACATTGAATTTGTATTACAAAATGTAAATTTTATTTTCTAACAGATGCTGACGATAAAAACCGCTGTACTCTGCAGCCAGAGAAAGGAACATGCCAGAAATTTGAATTTGTGTATTTCTTCGATAAAAAATCAGGAGAATGTCGAGGTTTCATTTACAGTGGGTGCAACGGAAACGGCAACAGATTCAAGAGCGTGGAAGAATGCCAGGCTACATGTCTTGCTTTATTATCAAATTCATAGGAATTTACTTGCATGATCTTTCTTGTTTTGTGGTTTTACGCTGGGTTATGCATTAATATGGTAGTCAATTAACAAGAAACTATACACGTAGTTATAAGTACATTAACAAATTTACTTGTATCTTTAGAAACATACATGGATGTTATATTTGAATAAAAAAAAGTATTTTAAATATTTTGCTTTAAATCAAATAAAACAAAAACGTTCTGATCTCATCCAAAATGTTATTAATCAAAAACCATTAAATATTTACTTGTATCTCCCGTTTTGTGAGGCAAATAGAGATTAATTAGTTTAGCTGTACGCGCTCGAGAAATACAAAGAAATTGTTTGATTTACACACTACTAGAATTGGCAGGCCGCCCCTCGGAGTTGTAACTCAAAACAAAAATAGCCTTCTAAAGTAATATAAAGGTGTATACGACAATCTGTATTACAAATTCATGCTTCAAAGGTAGCCATGATCAGGTATCAGTCTCCAAATATAGTTGTACACTGCAGAACGCTTAATTACTCACTCTATATATCTTAATGTAGGGCTATTCATTTCTGATTTTTTTTTGTGTGTGTGTATATATGTAAACAACACTTATTTCAACGGATTAGCCGAGTAAAGTGCGTTTGAACTTCAAACTATAATTATCACAGTTCTGAACATGGATAATTATGTTTTTTCTTCGATGTCATTACCATAAGCCTCTTGGAAAATGTATTTGATTCTGTGCAGTTGGCATAAAAATATTTTCTTACTTGAGCAGTTCAAGATATAGTAATAGTCGAATATTAATATTCTGAGAAAGTGAATTCCAATTACTCAATAATTTGTGGGGAATCTGAGGGTATTTACATCACATTCAGCTTACAGAACTGCACAATATTTTCATGTTTCTTTCAAATAAAACTTCAAAAAATTTGTATAATGTATGTTTATATGAATTGCAAAATATGTTATCAAGGTTAGATGCTTAAACAGAAAATTAATTTCTTGTGAATTGTTCTAGCTAAACGATGTTTTAACGTCCAAATAAAATAGTATCCCAACAACTGTGACACAAAAGTTTATTTCAAATAAGGAATGTACACTATACAAAAACAATAGGTTTTCTGTAACTCTTGACTACATTTCTTTTTTTGCACAGCTGCAGGCAAGAAGACAAAACACTAAATACATACAAACAAACCCTTATGAGCCAGTGACTGGTTATTCAGTGCTTAATGTGTTGACTTCTAGTGTTATTACTGTCTGAAATTCATCCATAGAGATATTTTAAGCATCTCTACTTTGTCCTGGTATTACAATGAAACAAAAGAAATATTCACATGTTAACTGAGATATTAGGAGTTTGTTTCACAAGAGAAGTAATTCTGACATCAAAGCATATGTATACCACATTCACTGAATATTTCTTATAATAAATCATTTAGGGTTAAAAATAAGTAACACTTAACAGTAACTGGAAGATCCTTGACCATGAAACCACACAATTTATATGAATTTTGTCTAACTTGTCTTTTATTGGATGATTACTATGTTAAACAAGAAATGTCAATATAATAACCCTGCAGTGAAAAGTTCTGTACTAGATTAATATACCACTTCCTATGGAGTAGTGTGTAAATTAGCACGAAATAAGAAGATGCAGGGCTGTGAAAAAGTAGGATATTTCACTAAAAGTTTGGCCAAAAAAGAAACACCTAATTGAAAAAGTGCAGTAATTATTAGTAAATGGTTATCTACATTAGTTGAGCTGATTTCAACACAACTTTCAGATACCAGGAAGCATGGAAACAGCAGTAACGAACTGGCAGAGCATATGATAAAAACAAATGAAAGGAACATTCCATGTTTGCCATCTTTGTGATCCATTACCCTCATGCACTATGATGCATATTAACTACCATGGAAAGCATAAAAGTAGTCAGTAGTCAACTTGGTAAATAAAAAAAAAAAAGGACACAGCCATATCAAGGTAGAGTTTTTGCACTGCTGGGCCATAAAAA